TGTGTCTTTCCCTTTTTTTTGAAATATAGCTCAGGATCCAGGAATGCAAAGCTTAACCTTGAAAAGAGAACCTTGTACAAATGGTGCCTTGAATGCCAGCATGTAGTCTGTTCATAAATTTTATGATGTGTGAAGTACATGTTCAAGGAAGTATTTATTAGTAAGGCCCTAAGTTAAATTAGGAAGGGTGGTTCATACCTTACATATTCCGTCATTTTCCATGCTGTTTATGTTTCTAGACCCAAGTGTGCAACTTAAATTTGTTTTTAATGTATACTCCTGACAAATGATGGACTTTAGTCAATTGTATTCTTCCTTTGGTTCTCTGATGCTTACGTTTTGCAGATGGAATAGGAATATGCTTTTAAATTAGACTCTGGATGCTGAACTTTAATATTCTGTGCAGACATTGCAGAATGATTTTCCTGTTACATTTCATGAAATGTAATATTATCTTCTAAACATTAGGGTATTTTACATTCAGCACATTATGATGAATTTAGAAGGTTGTTAGTGACAGTGTCATCTCTGAAACTCATACTTAGCGTGATCAAGTATGTAAGTAGCTCCTATTCTGTCACAGGTTTTGTGGTGCTCTTGGTGTCTGAATTCTGCAAGGCTGTGGGTATGGCACTGCACAGTAAGTGCTGTGGTTGAAAACTAACAAATTCTACAGAACTTAAAAGTCATTGTAACCATACCCTGAAAGCAAAAAATATGGTATCTATCTTATTGACATACTCATACCTCGCTTCATACTGGAGTCTCTTTGTGCAGATATGGTTAATTTTACACATTTGAAGAGTAAAATATTTGGTAAAAGAATTTATATTTTTACATATTTTAAAGGCATATATATTTATTTGAGAGGTGGGGGAAGAGAGGGAATGAATGCCAACCATATTATGGTTCATTCACCAAACACCTGCGATGGAAGATCTGGGCTGATCTGAAGCTAGAAGCTCGGAACTCAGTCCAGGTCTCCCATGTAGTTGGCAGGAATCCAATCACTTGAGCCATGTTTCCTACCTCTCAGACTCTGTATTAGCAGGAAACTGAATTCAGGAACCTGAGCGAGGTATTGAGCCCAGGTACTCTGGTGTGGAACATCGGCACCTTAACAACTAGACTAAACACTTTCCCCTTTCTATGTTTTAAAAACAAAGACTTGTGTGTGTGTGTGTGTGTGTGTTTTACAATGTATATGTATTGTTCCATTATGTGAAAAATCAGTAATATAGAAACAAAAATTCATTAAAACTATGAAAGCATGTAGCATGCACCATGACAGCCTTCTTGAATTCAGAAAGCAATAAAAATATAAACCCAAAGTTCTAAAAACAATCACATTTTAGGGAACTTTGAAAAATCTCTATGTATTACATCTCCCTGCCACAAGTTACTAACTCTTTAGAAGGTAATAATGGCTGTAAATAAAACCAAAATGGTGTAGGTCTTGGAAATACACTGATAGCAATTAAAGAAGAGAAGCTAGATGAATATGCAAAGCTTTGGCTTGTTTTGCAAAAGGTGACTAGCAATGTTTTTGTTGCAATGTTGTGCAACAAGTCCTATTTCTAATGTTTTCTCTGTATTTAATATCCTGACAAGAAGCCAAGTTTTATCTTTAAACAACCATTCTTTAGCAAGCTCAGACAAAGTGTTCCTAGTTGTAACTTGCCTTGCTTTCTTTATCTAATAGACCTCCTTTATAAGGAACAACATAAACTATAGACATCCAGATGTAGGACATAAAAATATCTATGATGATAGCATTTCAAGGCATCAAATGTTTATTTTATAGTAGTTGTTAAAATGATAGACTTTGGAGCCGGCGCCGTGGCTCAATAGGCTAATCCTCCACCTTGCGGCGCCGGCACACCGGGTTCTAGTCCCGGTCGGGGCGCCGGATTCTGTCCCGGTTGCCCCTCTTCCAGGCCAGCTCTCTGCTATGGCCAGGGAGTGCAGTGGAGGATGGCCCAGGTGCTTGGGCCCTGCACCCCATGGGAGACCAGGAAAAAGCACCTGGCTCCTGGCTCCTGCCAGGATCAGCGCGGTGCGCCGGCTGCAGCGGCGGCCATTGGAGGGTGAACCAACGGCAAAGGAAGACCTTTCTCTCTCTGTCTCTCTCTCTCACTGTCCACTCTGCCTGTCAAAAAAAAAAAAAAAAAAATGATAGACTTCGGAATCAGTCTCTTGAATTGGACTGACATGCTCTGTAAATCATTAACTGAACAACTTGGACTTCTGCTCCCTTCTCTACAATACTGAAAGAATCTATCCCATATATTTGTTGTGGAAGGTAACAGAACTAAAGTGTGGAAAGCGTCTAGTATTTTGCCTGATGCCTAGAGAATACTCAGCATGTAATAGTTATTGTTAATATTACAGGTCTACCATGTATCAAGCATTCTGCTAGACTTCTTGCACAACTTTATTGCATGGTCACAAATCATCACAGTGACAGAAAACTAGAATCCTCAGCTAAAGTTTAAGCAACGTCTTTGTTCAATGAGAACTAATGATTGGAAATGTTAAAACTAACACAAGAGTGGAAGAAGAGTCTCTAATGTCACATCCACCTCTGATACCCAGGGGGGCCTGATTTGTATTCGAGGCAAAATGAGCTTAAAGATGTTCAATATTTAGGTTTCTGTATAGAGCCCACTTAGGTGTAAACTTTGGCAAGAAAAGATGGTGATTTAGTATTTATGTGCTTAATGCTGATATTTTGCCCAGGAAATTTTTCTCCTAACTGGAATCTCAGTGACCTTTCTAGTCAGGCAGCAAATATGCAATATTTGTGGTATTTATCACCCTCTTTTTGCAGACCTTTTTGATTGGTATCAGATACAATCTGGAGACTCAAAATGTAATAAGTAAATGGGAGTGGCAAAGCAAACAGGCACATTATTCAATATTCAAAACAATGCCAAGCTGATTGCCTCTTTGAAAATCTCTTTCATGTAAAACTAATCCTATTAGATTATAAAAGATTGTTGAGGCATGAGGGAACTTTGTGCATATAACAGAGTATTGAAACATTAGAGCAATATCACTAGATGGGAATCAGAGCAGATCCTCTGGTATTCTGACCACAACTCAATAGCAATCATAATGTTTTGATTGTTAGTTTCCATGTCCGATTCTCCTATACACTATGAACCACTTAAAACCTACTACTTAACACAGTGCCTTGTGACATGCTAAAATATTAGGCTTATTGAAATTACAAGCCAGCAAATGACTATTACATAGTTAAAATGATCAAGAAAGTCCAAGAACCTGTATATAAATCTTAACAAATCAATATCCTTAAATCTTTACACTTCATTATCTGTTATTGCTTTAACAAATTTGCCACGGTCTAAGCAGCATGGACCACGTGCTGACCTGCTTCTTTGCAGAGGTGACTTGATTAATATTAAATGCTAAGATTTTCTCAAATACAAGAAGGATTTGAAAAGCAATGCTTAAAAGAAAAAAAGAAGGCAGCATACATTATAGTTTTTCTTATTAGTCCCATTGAGAGAAGAATTACAGAAATTAGGATCCTATGGCTAGATATCAGTTCAGCTCCTTGAGAAGATACAATTAAGTCTCCTGAGCCTGTACAATATGCTTGCTACTAAAGATATTAATATAGGCTAGCAAAGTAATGCAGCTGCTAGGGAGGCCAAATTTACAGTTGGTAATTTAGACCTTGGAAATTCTGGCTCATTATGTAAGCTGTTATGATTAATAACCCAGAAATGTTGGCAGTGTATGTAGTTATAGCCTAATTTGGTCTTCCTACATACACACATCCACTCACTTCTGCAAATGTCTTTGTGCAACAAATAGCCAGTAGGCGAGAAGTGGCTCCCTATACCTACTTGTATCTTTTCAATACCTTAGCCACTATCTCACACCTAAAAAATTCTTATGTGCACAGAAAACTGCTATCCTGGCATCAAAGAGGGAGAGACTTCCAGCCAACAACTACTACAAGAGTCACTGATCCTTTCTTCACTCTTGAATTGAGGGCTTTGAGATTTTTTTTCTCCATGACATGCTATGTTCCGCAGTTCAAAAAGTAAAGCACGTTCAGGATGATATTTAAATCATAAGTTCTCATTCTGTCACTTGTTAGGGGAGTTTTGATTTCCTAAGGCAAATTTCTTCCCAAGGAAGAAATCAACTACATTAGCTAAAGTCAGGTCTTTCCTAAACGCAGTTCTTAATACATGAGTTGTTTCCCTTAGCAAAATGATATTTTTTCTGTGTTGCACTTCTTTTTGGAGAGCCTGGTTTGCAAGCCAGTTATTTTTTACATTTGCTTACCTTTCTGTGTTTTCAAGTAAACATTTTTAAGAGGAATAAAATAATTAGAAATGAGAAATCTAAAGGTGTTTCACCATATCTCCCATAGCACTGCTACTAAAGGGTCTATTCTTCACAGGAATATTCTGCAATTTCTTTCCCATGGGCAGCTGTTGCTGACTCCAAAGGATGTCTTCATTCCAAGAACACATCTTATCAGGTGAAATAAGAAATAAGGAGTTGTGCCTACCCTGGCAAACAACATCAGACCCGCCAATCCAAATAGGCATATGATGTGCTAGTCCGCCATATGATTTTATCATCTATTTCGAATTAAGCAATGTAACTTGTCTGTTGACACATGCAATATCTCAGAGTTATTTTGAAGTGGTATTAAGGCAGAAAAGTACTGACAACATACAGACCAAGAGCAATCCATAAACTAAACAACATTCCCTCAGCAAATAGGGTATACTGAATACCTGTTAAGAGCCAGGCCCAGTTGAACTTTTGGAAGAACTCATATATAATAGACCAGCACAGCTCCAAGAAAGGTCTGGTGACTAGGGCATTCCTAATATGTCTAATATTTAGTAAACTCTGTGATCAATCTTTAATAACTCTAAGGAACTAGTTCTTTCTCTGAGGTGTATAAAAATAAGTCATTCATCTGGTTTCTTCATTTTCTTAATTTGCAGAATGTCAGTACTGGGGCTCAGAGCTCCAGCTACCTACCCTGGATTTTGATGATGTTTTAAAGTCTGATGAACATGCATACAAGTGGCTGGCCACCCTCAAGAAAGTAGGCATAGTGCGACTCACAGGAGCATCTGACAAGCGAGGAGAAATCGTAAAACTTGGGAAAAGGATTGGTTTCCTCTATCTCACATTTTATGGGTGAGTCACAAAATGTTTTGTTTTCTTCCTTCACAAGGAACATTTCACATATTTCCCAGAGGGGGTAACTCCTCTGATGAAAGATACAGAAATTTCCATAATGTTTTAAGCAGGAAATCAAATGGAAAGGTGAGTTTAAGAATAGTAGTTCTCTGGGCCAGCGCTGTGGCTCACTTGGTTAATCCTCCACCTGCGGCGCCAGCATCCCATATGAACGCCGGGTTCTAGTCCCGGTTGCTCCTCTTCTAGTCCAGCTCTCTGCTGTGGCGTGGGAGGGCAGTGCAGGATGGCCCGGGTGCTTGGGCTCCTGCACCCGCATGGGAGACCCGGAAGAAGCACCTGGCTCCTGGCTTTGGATCCACGCAGCTCCAGCCATAGTGGCCATTTGGGGAGTGAACCGATGGAAGGAAGACTTTTCTCTCTGTCTCTCTTTCTCACTGTCTATAAATCTGCATGTCAAATTAAAAAAATTTTAAAAAAGAATAGTAGTTTTCTGAAAATGACCAGAACTTGTGAAAAACTAAAAGCTGAAAGACATCAGGCACCAGAGACATCAGGCTACTTATAAGTGGTACATTAGTCTTCTCAAACTACCATAATACAACACCAGAGACTGGGTGACTTAGCAGAAATTTGTTTTCTCACACAGTTCTGGAAGCTAGACATCTAAAATCAAGGTGCCAGTAGGGTTGGTTTGTGGTGAGACTTTTTTGTTGTTGCAGATGACTGTCTTTTTGCTATATCTCCACGTGGCCTTTCCTGTGTGTGTAGCACGCTCCTGCTGCCTCTTCCTCTTCGTAAATGGACACTAGACCTTCTGGGCTTGGATCTCACTCTTATAACATCCTTTAACCTTAATTACCTCCATAAAGACCCTACTTGCAATTATTTTGGAGGTTAGGGCTTCAACACATGAATTTGAAGAAATACAGTTCAGCCTATAACTGGTGGGATGAAAGGCTATGTTTCTCCAAGACTTTTAGAAAATATTTAACTTTATAAATGTTAAGGATTGTTAAGGTTTTACCTCCCAAGAGTTGGCACAAAATAAAGTTAGATCCTGGGGAATTGAAACCAGTCACCAGACATATAAAGTTAAACCATGCTTTAATAAGTAACAGGAAATAAAATTAATTTTAATTTTGGAAGAAGAAGCTGTTTTCATAAGAATTTCCTCGGAAGTAGCATTAATTATGGATAGTGAAACACTAACAACAGGAAACACTTATCTGGAGGTGGGGTATAACTGTATTTCTAATTTTAAGGTAAGCCCCTCATGCAAGATGGATGCAATTATTCTTGGGCTCCTAGAGCAGAGAGCATTGGCAGTAAAAGGGACCTTCAGATTCCAAAGGTTGCAAACTGGTAGCACACAGGCTGGATTCAGATGTGTTTATGTTGGCCCACATGATGCTAAAAGAAAATAGTGGCAGATTTTACATTAAATATGAATTTAACTTTCCTTGAAAAGTCTAGTCCAGCACCAACGGTGCCTAAATCTCTACATGCCAACAATCTGCTGGACATAATAAAGACTGCCCCTTGAAGAAAGCATGGGCTCATTCTCCAGTTTACAGAATTCCTCCCTCCACCCCAGTCCTGAAAGGACCTGCTAGCCTTTGAGCTTTCCACCCCAATTTAGAGTAAGACTTTGGTGTAGACTGACAAAGGATCCAAAATATTCAACTACTGGCCGTCAATGACTTGAGCATATTTATTCATGGAAGACTCCACCATATTTAGATTTGGACAACCCAATCCCCACCCCACCCCATGCCAAGAACTTTATTTTACCATTAGCATATTTGCATTGTATAAAATTTGTGTGCGCCTCCATCTACAAGGATTTGAGCTGCCTTAGGCATTATGGCAATAAAAGAAAAAGGGGAGAAAAAATTCTTTAAATAATTAGGAGCCTCAACTCTGTTGTTTGCTCTTTATTTATCACAAGGTCTCTGTGAAATATTATCCTCCAGTTGATTGATAAGGAATCTGAAAATCAAAGAATTAACTTATAACCTCAGTTCCCACAGGAACCAAAGTATGAATGCAGTCTGTCCTCTCCATTGGCCTTCTATTCTACCTCACCATCAAGAAAGTGAAAGCAAGTGGGTTGCAGGCACTGTAGTTAAACAAAACACTTCAGAATACATCTAAGTTGTTTATTTTCAAATAACAAACTTTTTGCATCTTTTCCAACTTATTTCACAATTTTATAACAGTGACCAAAGCTGGGGGCTTTTGTTGGAGTTCCCTTACTCTCCCCACCCACCCATCAACCTAAGGGTCAGAGTCTTAGTCCTGATTTATTATTTTCTTTTTTTTTTTTTTTTTGTCTTATAGTAGGACTTAATTATTTGGCCACTGATCTAATGTTGTGAAATATATTGGAGTAAATAAATATATTGGAATAAATACAACAGATATTTATATCTGTTGTCAAAACAAATCAACCCTTCTGCTACTCTTCCTTCTCCCTCTAAGACCTTGCTGTCTAACCACATTGGCTGAAGCTACTCCATTTCACCTTCCTCAGATGATCATATTTTCTCATCTCTCTAAAACAATACGCATGCCAAGAAATACCTTTCTTGCCATCTGCCCCTACTTCTACCACTGATTTCCAAAATCTCTCTAAATATTTGGAGGGAGGGGGCCAACTTTTAAATTCTCTGCTTTAAGAACTTAAAGAACAGTTTTATTGTGATTGTTGTTTTACTTTTGTTAAGAGAATGAGAAAAGTAAATATTTTCTCTGAAGTTATCCCTCAACAAAATATCAAATGATAAGAATGTCCCTAAGGAATGTCTAGAACCATGGTTCTCGATCTAGGTTGCACATCGGAACCTAGATGTCTGGGTCCCATCAGCAGAGGTTTGTTGTTTTTTGTTTTTTGTTTTTTTTTTTGGTGTTGTTTTGTTTTTTTAGCAGGACTGATATTTGGACTGAGTATCATGATTTCTAAAAAAACTCTGCAGGTTATTCTCATGCACAGCACGGTTGAGAAACTCTGCTGGAGAAGCAGGGGTATTTCAAGAGAAGCTAAATCTCAGCTGGGGTGGACCTTGGGTTTTTTATGACCTCTGAATTCTCAGTTTTATGCACTAAGTGGTGTTTATCGTGTTCTGCTTGGTTATACTTGGACGTAGCTATACTGTTTTCTTTGTAAAATAAGTAACTGCCTAAAACAAGCGCCCTCTCATTCAGATCGTTGTGTTTGCACTTACTATCTATTTCTTGTTTGAAAAATAACTGGTTTGGAAGTGAATGAATGGAATGGATAAATGAAGGCAATAAACAAATCATGGAGGCTAGAGATTATCAAAAATAGGACAGAGGTAGAGAAAAGAAAAAATGGATGAACCAAAGCAATAGATGCCAGCATATCATAAAGTCTTGATATATAAAAGTCAGGGAATAAATGTTCAATGACTAAATGTAAGAACACTTCAAAACATTCATGCAAAAGGAATTAAAAGACAATTTTATTTTCATGCCAAAAAATATTTTTAAATCCACGCATAAATTATTCATAACATGAATTTGCCAAAAACTTTTTGAAGTACCCTCATACATGCCTAGATGTTTTTAAGACTGAAACAGCAGATGAATGCAGTAATTATTAGAGAATTTCCTAATCATAAACTTATGTTCAACTATACCAGAATGGTAATAGCTTTGAGGACAAAAGTACACGTCATTTTCCACATCTGTATTTTCTCAGATGCTTGTAATTATTTTGTCAGCACATCATTTGACAATATTTTTTATGCCACCATGTGAAATGCTCAGTAATCTTAATGCCTTGATGGTGAAAGGTTTCCTGGAGGGCAGAATAAGAGTTAGTAAAGGAACTTCTACTGCCTATGTTGTCAAATATATATAGATGTGGAGCAGTATGTAAAAAGGTATAACTAGTACTCAAACAGTATTTTTCACTTTATGTTTCTGTGTGGGAGCAAACTGTTGAAATCTTTACTTAATGTATACTAAACTGATCTTCTGTATATAAAGAGAATCGAAAATGAATCATGATGTGAATGGAAGGGGAGAGGGAGTGGGAAAGGGGAGGGTTGCGGGTGGAAGGGACGTTATGGGGGGAAGCCATTGTAATCCATAAGCTGTACTTTGGAAATTTATATTCATTAAATAAAAGTTAAAAAAAAAGGTAACCTTTTTGGAAGGATTTTAGTCTTTGATTCAGAGCAATGTAAGTTTTTATACACTGGACCTAAACAGCCTCATCCCTATCCTTGTTCCACATATAAAAATAACTTTCTGGAGATGTTTTGAGGAAGATGATATTATTGAAGAAATTATCTGAATCTTATGATGTGATTTAGACCAATGGAAAATGGCCATAAACTATATTCTATGAATATAATGCCATCTTCAATGATTATACCAATTTAGAAATATTTCAAGAATATATCCTACAGAGTAATTGTCAAAGGAATGACAATTTCTGTCAACCAAACAGAAGAATATTGGAGTGGAAATTTGTCTTAGTGACTAAGATCTTATTTGAGATGACTGCATCCCAAATCAGAGTGCCTGGGTTTGGGTCCTGGCTCCCCTCTGAATTCTAGCTCCTTGCTAATGCACTCCGCTGGAAAGCAACACACAATAGCCCAGGCAGACATTTGGATTAGAGAGTGTTTCTTTCCCTCCCTTCCTTCCTCTTTATCTTTGTCCCTTTATCTCTTTCTTTCTCTCTTTTTGCTTTTTTCTCTCTTTCTGCCCTCCACCTCCTCCCCTACCTCCCTCTCAAATGAATGAAATAATTTTCTCAAAAGCAGAATATCTTTTTTGCATATTAGTATTTGTAGGCATATTTTTCTGAATTATGTTTGTGTTTCTACTTTATAAAATTATCTTTGGTGATTGATGTATGCAAGTGAATATAACTATTTGAATTGGCTTCTTCTAAATAATCTGGGCAAATAAGAATTAATTAAAACCAAGGGATATACTGAAAAGTAACCTCAGATTTTTTTGGT